CACACACACACACACACACACACACACACACACACACACACACACACACACACACACACAGACACACACACACACACACACAGACATCATCGCGAAAATAGTCAAAACGGATTCAGGGGACCTCAAAACGTAAAAATCCGTCGAAAACTCGAGGTCGAAAAAAATCATGATTCCTATACTTTCCTTATATCTGTATACAGATAGGAAAGTAAAAAGAGATATACCTTTACTTAAACACACAATTAGTCAGTTCAATTGTACGATAATTTAAAGCAGAAATCCAGAAAACTTTAAAAATGTGTTTAAATGTGTTTTTACTATAACAAGGACATAATTATTAAAAAAACTTGGCACATTAACATTGACGATAGGTTTTTATAATATATATTATACAAATCACAACGAACTACACAAAATGACATTATTAATAATTTAGCAATAAAAAAGTACAATGATGACATTAAAAGTTGAGTTTCTCGAAATACTTTTTTTAAATTGTCTCAGTACCTACCTAGTATTTTTCTAGCACAATGATATTATATGAATGTGCATTGTGTGATATCTTATATTTTAGGAATAAAATGATATATTTTTGCAGGTTTCTGTTAACAACGATTCCAAGAACTTTTGCAAAATATTATTAAAACGGCCTTTACAAATATAATTCTCAATTAAGAGCTTTTGATCTAACATTAAATTTTTATTCTCCATAAGGTTACAGCTTCCTAAGAAGAAAGTTTAACAAGACTTACCAGACACAAAATATCAAAATTTTACCAACCAATTGATGGTACTACTGGTTTTCATAGGAAAATTCTCCCACTAAAAAAAAATGGCAGAGGCAACCGAAGAAGGCAAAAAAGTCTTTTGCAAAACAAAAACTAGAAATTTGTTTAAGAATCTAATTATTGTTTGAAGTTTTACCATTACTAATTTTTGATAACGATTTAAGATTATGAAGTTCTATTATGTATTTTACTCTTTGATAACCTATGTTTAAATTTTTATTAGGACCAAAATAAATTATAATTTTCATTTCAACTACAAAAACCCTCATAATAATATTAAAAAGGGGAAAAACGTTAGATTAGTTATGTTCAGAAATAAACTCTTTAAACATTTATCTACTTAAAATGTGTTACTTTTAGAAGGTATGTTATTAACTGCTATTTGTACTTGTATTAATTTATTTCATTTTATTATCTGTTGTATTTTCAAATTGATTTTGATATTAATCTTATCTATTTATATATTTTTTATATTCACATATATGTTTTTTTTTTATTGAAACAAACGTTTATTAGCTTATTAAATATAATGAATTGTTGTATAATGTTGTTTTATTATATGCTTGTTTGAATGATTACTTTTATTTCCTTTTGAAAATGAATTTCGAAGATAAAGCCGAAACGGTGAGTGAATAAAAAAGTGACGATATTTACTGGAGCTTTCATCTACACGCTCCTTTTTCTAGCCACCTGAGCCAGCAAGATTCGTCTTTCCTCCATCCTTACATTCTCCAGATTTACAGAGAAAACGCCGTCCTCTTTAACATATACAGACCTTCTTTGACGGGGACTATACCACTACATTATCAGCTTTATTTGTTATACCGAGCAATTTAAATGCATTCGTAATTGCTCATTCTCACCTCTTCTCTTGTAGATTCCGTACTCAGTTTTCTTATTTTTAGTTAAGTTTGCACTGCTCTTTTATTTTCACAGCTTTAATTCTATAATGCTGTAACGCTACAATATGGATCCATTTTTATGGTTTATACTATTTAATGTTATTCGTAAGTGACCAACCTATTATAATAATTAAAGATTATTGTATTACAGGCCTGAAGATGTTCCTGTAAGGCCGAAACTATTCACTCCTGTATTTATTTATATTAAAATTGATTTTAAGGTTTTATTCTTCACTTGAAAAAATTAGACCTTTACAGTGATTTTGTTTCATTTCCTGCATTAGACACATATAAGACGGTATTTATTTTAAAATTAGCAAATTTTTTAGTTTTTTTTTACAATTAAAACGTTTGGACAATATGTGTTTTTATAGATAAATGATACGCCACTGAACAAGAAGGATGTTTACCTTCCCCCTTGTGCCCGCTTCCTCACTTCCTCAACAGATGTTGCTAACACAACAATCGCCTACAAACTCGTTATCACGCTCCCTCTATTAGTAATTGCTCGGAGATTGACACTGGAACCAGCATACAAATCTTAAATATAAATTAGTGATTAATATTTTTTGTACTTTCTTAATAAAAACAAAACAAAATATTTTTTTTTTGTTTATGTCACATTATTAAAATAGTTTAAATATTTTTTTAAAAGAACGTCACACTCTAATATATGACGAAAATTTCAAAAAAACAGAATAAAAAGTCATATTTTTTTTTAGAGAGGAAAGACACAATTAGTTCAAAATCATAATTTTATCAACCAAGAGTAAATCTCATTATTACCACTTGAGTACAGTACTTAATAGCTCTAAACTATAATAAAAGCATTTACTTAATCTGCATTGTTAAATTAGTATAAGAAAGTAAAATAAACAATAATCTTTAAACCACGATAAATCATAATTATTGAATTTTGAGTTATGACCTTCTTCCATTAAGGGAGTGATATAAATTTGCCATGTGCTAACACGGGCCACGGAAGTGAGTGCACGAGCAAAAAAAAGGGATACCCGGCTTGGGGTGAGTCCTGAAAATATTTATAAGGCGCCACCAGTTCGACCACGACTCAACCTGAGAAGCTCCTTGATCTAGTAAGGTTTGGAACCCGAAATACCGCAAACAAATCTAAAGCCCTAATTACATTGTACTGTAAAGTGAAGCTTAATACCTAATTAGCAATAAAAAGAGAAAACAAAATAAAATACCGTTATCCACAACAAATCTCCAGAATATTTTATTATAAACTAACATCTGAAATTTCCACTTCAGAGATGCCACAAAAATATTAGTAAAATAATATTAAAACAAATAACTAATATTTAGTATCTGATTATGTTATTTTATGTCCAAAATGTGTGTTTTAACCCCCTCCCCCCAGCGTGTACACGTTGAATTCACAGATGGAAACTAACCAAATTTTAGATAAAAGAAAAATAATAGTTTTAAATAAAATTTTATAAGTCGTAAATAAATGTTCATGTACATTCAAAACCAAAACATTACGCTAAATAAATGTGTTTTTCTACGCCCCTTTATGACAGTACGTCACTGGTAGACCGAAAACACTTGTCGCCATATTCGTCTAGTTCACTGTCAAAATTAGATACCATCGCGATTCCAAGGTCGTTTAGGATTCCTCCTTCGTGACCATATATATTCTAAGATTTGGATACTAGTGTACATCTTCAAAACGTCACGAACGTCGTGAACAATAGTATATTATACAACGATCATGTAATGATGGTTATTAATACACGAGCATTAACCGGGATACGAAACGAGCCAAAGGCGAGTTTTGTATGGTTTATGCGAGTGTTTTAATAACCATTACATGAGAGTTGCATACGCTATTTTTTCTACACCCGATAAATAATCAAGACCTATAAATATTCTATTTATATTGGTATTGAACACAATAACAGTAATTACTCGTATTTCTATAAAAAATTCTACAAAATTGTAATTAATGGTATTACCTTGGGTATTGGTATTACCACAGATTTTTGGGGCTAAATATTTTGTACTGCATTTTCTCCTTTCTCCGATATGTGTGGAGGAGTCTTCTATATCGCTGATATCAGACATTTTAATATTATAATTATCGAAGTTTAGCTATCTACGAAAATTTAATACGTTTTGACAACTAAAACAATTACATAGGAATTTAGGACAAACGTCAAACATCATGCTTGATTGAAAAATTGTAGGTTTCTATTGATTAAAAATCTGTATCATAATGAAAAATCTGTATCATAATGGGTATCATTATGAAACGGATTATGGGCATATAAGTGCATTATTATAATACGGGTGTAGAAAATAGTATATTATGCAACGATCATGTAATGATGGTTATTAATACACGAGCATTAACCGGGATACGAAACGAGCCAAAGGCGAGTTTCGTATGGTTTATGCGAGTGTTTTAATAACCATTACATGAGAGTTGCATACGCTATTTTTTCTACACCCGATAAATAATCAAGACCTATAAATATTATATTTATATTGGTATTGAACACAATAACAGTAATTACTCGTATTTCTATAAAAAATTCTACAAAATTGTAATTAATGGTATTACTTCAGGTATTGGTATTTCCCTAGATTTTTGCGGTAAAATATTTTGTACTGTATTTTCTGCTTTCTCCGATATGTGTGGAGGAGTCTTCTATATCGCTAATATCAGACATTTTAATATTATAATTATCGAAGTTTAGCTACCTACGAAAATTTAATACGTTTTGACAACTAAAACAATTACATAGGAATTTAGGACAAACGTCAAACGTCATGCTTGATTGAAAAATTGTAGGTTTCTATTGATTAAAAATCTGTATCATAATGAAAAATCTGTATCATAATGGGTATCATTATGAAACGGATTATGGGCATATAAGTGCATTATTATAATACGGGTGTAGAAAAACGTCTTTAAGATGTCTTTAAAACATGTCTATGCTATCTGTGTAGTGTCTTTCTTTATTAACTAAAAATAAATTTTTCTGTAATACATATAGATCATTGTTTTAATTTGCGAAATTTCAAAAAAAAAACAATCATTTTATTATGTAAACTATTATTCAGTTTATTTCAATATATTTTTTCTTGTCTCTTATTTATTGTTACTTATTTATTTTAAATTTTACGCTTTAAACTTGCTTTATACCTTTATTTCCAACATGTTACGCCTTTGATCGAATATCGTTGGTGTCAGAATGAAACAAAATTTTCAGCGGCGTTATTAGTCCTCTCTTTATTACCTAGTCTAAGATAAATTCAGACCGTTTTGCGAAACGTCAAACCCTAAATTTCAGCCTTCAACTTAAGACGTCCTCTCAACCACGTTAAACTGAAAATGTCATTCCAATTTAAGATTCACCACTAACCAAAAAAAAAAACAAAAATCAATTATTTAGAATTATGGAATCCTCTAAAATCTCCCTGAAACGAGCCATATCCAGTACGTCACCATCAAATCAGAAAATTCGAAAATTGGAAGTAGATTCTTACACTTGCGTCGAGGAACATACTCAATTTCAGGACGATATAAGGTGTTCAATTTGTTCGGAAATACTGATGAAAGCCACAACGTTGAATTGTTCTCATAGTTTTTGCAAATACTGTATAGATCGATGGACCGCTAAGCAGTCTGATTGTCCCATATGCCGTTCCAAAATCATACACCAAGTTCCTACGTTGGTCCTGGATAATATTATTGGTACAAAATCATTTAATTTCTTTTTCTGTCATTAAATTTTTCTGCTTTAAATTTAAAGCAAGTTTCGCGATTAATTATGTAGATTTATTTGACTATTGTTACTATTATTGACTGACCAACATTTTTTTTTTCAAAAAATATTTTGCAATAATTATGTATCTATGAAAGAAGTCCCTATAGGGTGTCAGTAGATGAGATTAGCCAGTTCTGGACCAATGTCAGAGGTACAGAGAGAGGTAATTGGGTAATTAGTAATTATCCTAAGTACCCATCCCCCACCCTTCGTGCAATTAGCAAGTACATCCCAATTACTATCATGTACTGTAATAAGTGTAATTGCATAGTGTAATGGCACCTCTCATTACTCCATATACATAAAGGTGTAAGTACCTCTCAGAGGTATAAGTACCTCTTCGAGAGTATTTACTATATATATCATGCAGTCTGTAACGAGCATGGTAAGTACCCATACTCATCGAAGTGTAAGTACCTCTTAGATAGTAATTACTATGTATATCATGTAATAATTTTAATCTAAATACAGCTCAGTGAATACTATTGTGACATAGGGAAAATAAGTCCATATCTAAACACATCCTTGACTCTCAACCGCCATAGCTAGAGTGAAACGCTAGTCTCCAGCAGACACGGGCCACGTAAACATTGGTAGAAGGGGTAAAACCCCACCCTTCACGCATCTTCAGACTTGTATATAATAGCAGGGCTGCCGTTTCAGTACAATTGTACTAAATTTAGTACATTTCTCATGGCTAAGTACAAAAGTATATTTTAAGTCAAATTAAGGCAAATTTAGTACAATTTGAAATACTGATCGTCTTTGTGGCACCATCTATGATAGAAATCCTAAGTTTTCCGATATAAGGGTAAGTATTGTAAATATTGGCGGTATTTTCCCCAAAGAAAAGGGATTTTACACAAGGTCTATTCCAATAACGAACAGAAACCCGTCACCGACTCCAAGATTCTGCCAAATTATCTATTGTGCAGAATCCTGGTGTGAGTGACTGGTTTATGATCGTACAATTAATTTTTATTTACCTTCATAAACATATAAAAACTTGCCTTTAAACTTGATTAAAATAATAAAATTTAAAACAAAACTATATTCATATTAACGTATCGGTATATTCCAGTGGTATATTCCAATTCCAATTTTTCAAAGTACATAAGCAACAAAAACAAATAACGCCCATCCATCCTACAGTTGACATTTGACAAGATTTGACATGACAACTGACAACTTACGTAACACTTTTGATAAATGACAGTCCATCTAGAATTTAGTACATTTTCCTCGAATTTTCTAGTACATTTCTAAATATCTCTGCGGCAGCCCTGTATAATAGCGCCCATATCCAAATTAAATCAGTTTAAAATCGTAAGCTTTAAGCGGGTGCCTCTCAGGCTTGTATATTAGGAATATGAATTGCATAGTAAGTACTTTTTAATTACCCTATACACCATGTGTAATGAGTATCGTAAGTACCTCTCATTACTGCATACACATTGAAGTGTAATGAGTTTAATTTAAGTAACCGAGAGGTTATTACTATTGTAACATACATAGCGTTTTGTATCATAAGTACATTCTAAATAATAGACAATTATTTTTCATAAATGGGGGATGAAGTCCGCACATTCTTGACTCTCAACCACCATGATTAGAGTGAGAAATCGGCTGGGTGTAAGCATACGCGGCATGAATATCGAGGCAGGAGCTTAGAAAAAGTGGGGGATTTAGTTAACAAGTACTTCCCAATTCTGTACCCACTGTACTGAGTCTAATTGCATTGTAAGAAACTTTCAATGTGTAATGAGCATCGCAAGTACTTTTCAATACTCCATTCACATGTAGGTACCTTACCGTATTTCTTATACTATTCATTTGATTTTAAGAAGGCGTCTTTAGGCCTGAGCTTAGCGGAATACATTATCCACCTATCGTAATAATGTGAAACAATACATGGCCGTTATTAAAGGAACAAATATGGGCCAAGTTATACTTATAATATAATTGTAAAAATTTTTAATGAAATAAAGTGTATACTATATGTAATTAAACGTAAAAAATATTTACAGTGGCTCTACCACAGATGATAAATATTATAACACAATTACACTATTTTTATTATTTATTTGATATTTTTGTGAATCCAATTTAAAAAAAAAGCCTAGCATATGTATATAAATGACTACTAATTCAATATACATTCGATATTTTAGTAATTATAATATACAGCTAAATATTTCATCAAATATTTACTTATTTTGTTTTTAAAATATTGTAGTTTTCTACCCACAATAAATAATCCGAAAACTATTAAAAACAGGGTTCTACCAAATCTCATCACCCTACTCTAGAAGACATACCTAAACTTCGTTACAGATGGCGACCATAAAAAACACATATTTCTACTAAACTTATCCCAACTAGATACCTAAAGGACCCCGGCTCTTTTTTACCTGAGTTCGAGGTTTGCGTATTATACGTAGATCTCCATTAATACAAACATAATAGGTTATTTAGTTGAAAACGTTGTATGCCAATGTTTCTGCGTTTTACTTTTTTTTTGTTTTAAATTTTTGAGAAAGATTTTGATGTTATTTTTTTCCGTTTTTGTATGTATTTTATAAAGAAATAAGATATTTTTAGCCGTTTTGAAACCATACACTGTGGAAGCTCACGATGTTTAAACTTTTTGGATACGTACGATACTATATATCCTCACAAAAATCCCCTACCTCTTTTAAGTTTCTTCGATATTCACGCTCTGTACGGTACAATAGTTATACCCGAGAGGTACTTAGATTAAACTCACTACACTTCATGATATACATAGCAATTACTACACATAAGATACTTACACTCATACCACTTCATTGTGTTTGAAGTAATGGGGAGTACACATGATATACATAGTATATACAAGGTACCTACATGAGAATGGAGTATTGAAAAGTACTTGCGATACTCATTACACATTGAAAGTTTCTTACTATGCAATTAGACTCAGTACAGTGGGTACAGAATTGGGAAGTACTTGTTAACTAAATCCCCCACTTTTTCTAAGCTCCTGCCTCGATATTCATGCCATGTATGCTTGCACCCGGCTAGTTCCTCACTCTAATTATGATGGTTGAGATTCAAGGATGTGCGGACTTCATCCCACATTTATGAAAAACAATTATGTCTATTATTTAGAATTTAAAACTGAACGCGTAACCAACGTCCAGCAGTTGGGTTAGTAGAGAACAACAAAAAATAATATTATGGCAAGCAGTTGTAAGAAGGTAAAGACATACCACTTTCATTCTGAATAGGAAGAACAATACTTTTTTTATTTTTCATTCAAAAATAATATATTTTCCACAGAAAACATCGTCCACAGTCTACCGAAAGCCTTGCAGAAACACAGAGAAAAATTGATGGCAGAACGAGAAAAGAAATCGATGAAAAGCAAAAACAAAAGCGGTTGGATCAAAATGAGACGTATGAACGGCTTGAGCAGCTACTACATGGTTCCGAAGTACGTCAACGCGAGACGTCATCTCAACGAAGTGACCATTATGTATTTTGAAGACGACCCAGAGTGGGAAGACTTAGGGGAGGAAAACGACCTTCGGTGCCAAAATTCGGCTACAGCTACCGATGAAATCGAAGTTATAGATATAAATACTTAAAAAAAGGAGTTTTGGTGGTTAAAATTAAAACCTGCGTTTCATGCTATGTAATTTTGCTGCTATATCTTGATAGTTTGAGGGGTTTATTGGAATTTTAATCAATGCTTGCTACCAACCATAATATTTGTTTATTTTGTCTAGATTATTGTATTCATTAGATTGTATCTTTTTCAATGTAACCTCAAATTATAACTAATTTAATGAATATAAAAGATCCAATAACGGTTAGTATCTTTTTACCAGGTTGGTATTCCGAAAATCACTACATAATTGTATCCAACATATTCTATATTTATTTTATAGCATAATACATTTCTTGCAGCAAAAATTCATAACATGAAACTTGATAAAAAGATATATTAACACGAACTTCTTTTTTTGTATGTATTCACTTTCATTTGGTGCTATTTTGAAACAAAGAACATAGTCTTTCTGTAATTTTAAAGTTTTTTCAATACTTGATAAAATAAGCATTGAATTTTGTTAAAAGTAAATCAGGATACATTTTTTTTTAATCTACTTAACGTGGTTGTGGTATCTACTTTTTTAAAATAAAAGGTTAACAAGGATTTCTTGTTTTATTATTATAATGTGAAACAGGTTTTTGAAAAGTTCTAGAACTAACTAAAGAGTTAAAGCAAGTAAAAATTAACATTGAAAAACTTGAAAAATAAGGCATCTGATCAAAATAACGAAAAAGATGTCACTTTAAATGTAGTTAAAATTAACAGCGAAGAACTAATGATGGAAATGGCGGAAAGACAGAAGAGGGCATCAAACATTATTATATTAAATGTAAATGAATCGAAACAAAAAATAGTTGCAAACAAAATAAGAGAAGATAAAGACTCAGTAAAAGAACTGCTAAAAGATATTGATGTTAATATTACAAATATATGGGTGTTCAGACTGACCAAAGATCAAAACAAAAATAGTCCACTAAAAGTTTGTTTTCCCAGTCCATAAAAAGCTCTTAAGGTGTTAAAAATGATAAAAATTCCATCTATTAAAATTTTTCCTGATCAAACAAAAGCGCAAAGAGAGTACTTCTTTAATGTCAAAAGGAAGCTGCAGGAATGTTTAGATAACCGTGAAAACAAAACTATAAAATATATAAATAATATTCCAACAATTGTTGCTAGCAATGCATATACCCAAAAAAAAAACAAAAAACTAGTAAATGGTCCTAATATATCTTTTAGAAGTGATGTAATTTATATCAGTGGTCGTCAACCTCTCAATGTGTTGAGCTACTTTGTTAATTTTGTAATAAACAGCGAGCTACCCACACGGAAGCCACGTAACGCAACGTAAATGAAATAATCCACAGTTAATTTATCATTATTCCTCCAGATCGGGTCCCTAGGTCCCCAAGCAAAAATTTCTCCTCCTCTGCTTAAATTTATCTAAAAAAAAAAAAGTCTTCACGTAAAAACTTCCCCCCTCTTGTGTCGAACTTCTGAAAGTAACAAACTACCACTGCCGGGCCCCCATTTGAGCCCGGGCCCTGGGAATTAGTCCCGGCTGCCCCCCCCCCCCCCCCCCCCCCCCTCTAGTCGGCCCTGCTTGTTCATAGCTACATTCCTACCTACCAAACAGAGGTGTTTGACAAATAAGCACAAACTTTTATCCAGCCACAACGGCTTGTCACGTAAGATTTAAAAATAGTTAATAATAACAACAAAAAAGTATCGCACTATCATGAACATAAACATTGAAAAATAAAAAAGTACGTTCAATGAGAAGGCTGACACTCAGACTCATCGATAATTTTTTTAATGTTTGCAATATAATTTGATACAGCCATTCGAATACAATTTTCCAAATCTTCATCTGTAAGTCGATTGCGATATTTGTTCTTAATAAATTTCATATTGGTAAAAGAAGACTCACACAAATAGGTTGAACTGAATAGTGCTTTCACTTTCAAGGCAACACGGCATAGAACTGAATATTTGTCTTTACTTACAATAGGCCAGATACATTTGGTACTTGAGACTAACGATTTTAAGGCTAAATCATTTTGAAACTCAATTACTTCCATTTCTGTTGCAGCGATGTCTTCGCCAAAGTTCTGCATGACACAAGTTGCAAACTGTTGGATATCAATTTCCATAAAGGATAAAACAACAAACTGCGCTACTAAAGCCATTTCGTTGAAATCCTTAAAAGGATTTTTGAAGTTATTCTTCAGGGTAGAAACTATTTCTCAATCTATATTTGCTGTCATAGGGTTCTAATGGATTTTGAGATATTTTTTCTGAAAGAATAGGAAAATGCTTGGCATCGCTGTTAATTAGGTTTTGTTCCCAAAACTCCAGCTTTTTGATAAATGCTTTTATATCAGAAATCATTTCCGCTAGTTCTTTGTCTCTCGCCTGAAGCTGCAAATTAAGTTCGTTTAATTTCTCTGTTATGTCCACGAGAAAACCAAAATCTCTAAGCCAGATTGAATTTTCTAGTTCCGGAGTCGGTTCATCGCGTTGTTTGAAAAATTGAACTATGCCAGATAGTACATTATTAAAACGTTTTAGCACCCGTCCTCTACTTAACCATCGGACTTCAGAGTGAAGGAGTAGGTCCCCGTATTGACAGTCAACTTCATCGGCCATTGTTTTGAATAATCTTCTTTGTAACGCTTGAGCTCTAATCTTGTTCACAATTTTTACTACCAGTTTCATAACGTTGTTTAGTTTCAGGAAAATTTCACATAATGCTTGCTGATGGATAATGCAGTGGTAACAGATAAATTGCGGAAAAGTTTCATCTTTACGACATAACGCCACCAAACCCTTATCACAACCCACCATAGCTGGAGCGCCATCAGTTGTCAAGCCTACCATTTTCGATATTGGAATTTTCTCGGAAGAAATAATATTTTTTAAATGGAATAAACTTCAAAAGATCTTCTTTAATCGGAAAATCACTAAAAACCATCTGACGAACACGGCCATCTGGGCAGTGTCAACGACATCTGTTGATTCATCCAGTTGAAGTGAAAAATAAACACAGTTATCTAAGTCAGTTCTTAACTGTAAAAAAATATCATTGCTCATTACTTCTACACGTCTCATCACTGTATTAGCAGAAAGTTGCATAGATTTTATAGCTGAAACTATCTCGTCTTTATTTCTAAAGTTGGCAAATAACAAATCAGCAGCTTCTAAAAACGCCTGTTTTATCATTTCCCCGTCTTCATAAGGTTTCTCTTTTTTGTGCAATTATCTGGGACATACGGTACGATGCTTCAGTTGCAGCCTTATTTTTGTTGACTGTTCTTAAAAATATTGATTGTTGTCCAATTAATTAACTGCTTTTTTAACTGTTTCAGTTTCTCCTTTCTGGCGGCAGAATGTAGTGGGAATGATTTTTCAAAATTAGAATGTACAGTTTTATGATGTCTCTCAATATTTCTTTTTTAGCAACGGAGACCGAAGTATTGTTACGTTATAAAATAATGAATGATGATGATGAATAATGAAACGAGGGATGAAACGAGAAACCAAATTCCAAGGTCCAACCAATGTTTCGTTTGTCTAGAGAAATGCTTTGCCCCGGTTGTCTACTGCAGCTAACATCCATTATATAGAAATGCCCAGAAACAGTTCATGCCAGGACAGAAAAATAGATCCGGACTAGCCAGAGGGGACACGGAATAAAAATATTTTTTTTTTCAATGTATAGTAGGTTAAAATGTTTCATGCTTAATTTTTCTTTCAACATAAATATACGTAGGGACTGAGGGCAGTCCTTTTTTCATCGAGGGGAGGCACATGTTACGTTATAAAATAATTAATAAATATCTAAATAAATTAAATGACGCCCAGTATATTATAAAATCCATCTAACAAAATATTTTAATTATCAGCAATTTATTATTATCTAAACAATTGGTCAATATTAAAAACACCGGTGGGGAATGCGAGAAAAGAATGGATACGGGGTCATGCTGGCTTGGGGCGTCGGCCTAGGGGGTTAAGTTAAATTAGATACAAAAGTTAGGTTGTGTCTAACCAGTGAACAAAGGGTGCCCTCAAAAGAATGTAAGTAGATTGTTCTTATTTTATTATGTCTATATTTTTGATAGTGGAAAATATAATTGTTTTTTTTTATAAGTGTTCTTATTTTTTTGTGTTCTCCTCCAACCCTTTCTGGTAGTTAGTGGCTACGCTGACGGGGTTAATAAAACACCCCGTAGCAGTATTACATAACAAACACACATTTTTATCTTTAACTTCTGTAAAAAAGTATTGTTCTTTCCATTCCGAATGAAAGTGGTATGTCTTTACCTTCTTACAACTGCTTGCCATAATATTATTTTTTGTTGTTCTCTACTAGTATGTAAAAATTTTAATTGGTACAGTTGCTTTACTGGTATATCTCCTTTTAACGATTTTTATTTAAATTTAAGCAAATTTTTTAATGCGTCTTTCCCTATTCAAAAAATAAAAATTAAGCCAAAAAAGCCGTGGATTACAGTTGGTTTAAGATGTTCATCAAAAAATATGAGATCTCTCAACTATATATAGTATATTACATTACGAGTGTGGAAAGTGACATTTTTCACACGAGTGGGAAATATTGTCGCACGAGGCACAAGCCGAGTGCGACTATCACACGAGTATGGAAAATCACTTTTCACACAAGTGATGTACAATATTTTTCCTACGACCACAAAATATTTTCATAAAAAAATGTAAAACCAGGTTATTATAATAATTAAAATGTATTTAAAAAAATAATCAACAACAATCGTATTTATTCAATTTTCATATTTTTTAAACAAAAAAAAATAAAAAAAAAACAAAAAAGTTCTGGCCCCGCCAGGATTCGAACGCGGTCGTTTGCCAGGTCTCTCAAATGGCAAATTTGATAGTTTGATGCTCTAACCAACTGAGCTAACAGGCCTTTCCTCAATTGAATGATCTAATCGGTTATATGTTTAACCAGAATAAAAAGCAAACATAATCTTAGTTATTTTAAAATTATTTTAATAATAATTGTTAAAGATAAATATCTAGGATCTAATTTACAACAATTTCAATAATTTAAAAATCATATCGATTTTAGTATTAATATGGACATTACATCGATCAAAATAGAAATTATGGGTTTGACATTTTATGACAGCTGCTGCGGAAAGTAACATATTCTCACTCGGGTGGAAAGTAAATTCTTATTCATACGCGTGTGATATAGGGCACTTTCCATAGGACTATATAGTGTGATATGTGTCACTTTCCTAAGTGGTCGTAGGAAAAAAAAATTTACGCAAAATAATTTATTTTTAAACTATTATTATCGCTACAGATCTTTATATCGAACACTTATTAGAAAAGCTAAAGATATGTACTATCATACAAGAATCGAGAGCTCAAAAAATAAGGCAAGGGAAACTTGGTCTATTATTAATGAATTGAGAG